ATTTAAAAACTTTTGATAATTTTCAGCGATTTAAAAAACTTTTAATAATTTTACAGATCGTTCAAATGTAACTGATCGAGTAAGGTACCCTATCATTGTGTAGAAGTGAAAAAATTCTAGACACATTCTCAACACAGATCAAAGAAATCTCAAATTGGCTAGACAGCGCCTTGTAAAAAATTTCTTGAAAACCCCTGAGATAACGGATCTTTTGAGAGATGCTGACTATTAGGTAATGAAGCAGTGGTCAAAGCAAAATGAAATAAAAATTACCGTTGCAAACAAGGAAAATGGTTGTTTTTTGACATGAACAAGAAATGATATAACAAACTATGTTAATCATTTTTTTTCAGACACCCCGAGATTATGGTGAATCTATCGATTTTATGCACATATTACCGCTATCGGATTTCGAAATGCAAGGACTTCTCAGAAATGCAATTAAATGGAAAGAAGCAAAAACTAAGAAATTTTTACAAGTGTGAGAATGGAATTGAGGAATGAGGCAAAACACCGGAACGTTATTATTTTACCGCATTTCTGCAAGTATCACTGTAGAAACATAACGAAACTGTGATAATAGGTTATTTTTTTTCGGCAAATCCTGTACAATTTATCATGATTTCGCACGTGCATCATCACTCACTGTAAATGTGCCCATTTTGAAGGAGAAAAAGAAAAGATGCATGAGATATTTCTGCACAACAAAAAAAACCTATGTTACAGAAATGAGGAAAAAAAACCCACGCTACAAACAGAATCTTTGGTACCAAAGAACTCGTGTATTTTAGATTTTAAGACACATATCATTCTCGGCGAAGACCATGAGGGACATAGTGTCATGGTCTTTGCCGAGAATGTGTGTGCGTGTGTGTGTGTGTGCATGTGTGTGTGTGTGTTTATACATCACGATTTGATGGATCGGGGGAAAGTTAAAATGAGAATTTCGACCCTCTTCATATCTCCGAAAAAAGTGAATGACAGAGGATAAACTTTCGAGGTAAACCAACAAAAAATTATTTATCACTATTATTATTAAGCGAAAAATGAAACTTACAAGATACTGTAGTTTGGGTAAATTCTCCGAGCTGATCACTTTTAGAAATGAAGCAAATTCACTGGCATCTGAGAACTCGGCATGTCCAAGCATCAGGTATTCCAGATTCACCAAATACCTCAATTTTGGCATCACACGCAGAAATTTCCCACTTCGATTCAGCCATTCCAATGTTGTGAGACTTTCAGGCAGAAAAACTTCCGGCTCTGAAAATTAAAAAAAAAAAAATAAAATGGATTGAGAAAAATAACCATCATTAAGCAGCCAAACAGAGCATTAAGCATTAAGCAGTCATACTGGCTGACCCAGGCGTTTCTTCGCCTGGCCCGGTGCTCCGGGGTATCGAGTCGGGTCGTCGGCTCCTTGGCAATAACTTGGGGTAGCAGAGGAATCTTCGTCCTTCGTAAATTGGACCACAGTACCATAATTCTTACGTGCCCTTACGTGAGCCCCGGGCAGTCTTGGGCAGCTGAATTTGAAATCTTTTTGTCACACACGGGTAGGGAACATTCCCCTATGGTTTCAGCTTTC